TACAACTTTAAGGGAAGCAGAAATTTGAAGAGAAGCTAAGAGTAGCCATAGAACAAATCCTCCCCACTCCAGCCCATATTGGACTTCTCTCACTTCCTCTCACAAGAGATGTTCTCTCCCTCCACTGGGCCTTCCCACATGTTATTTTTCCTCCCTGCAATGACCTCTATCCTTCTCTTTGCCTTGGAAAACCTATTCATTCTTCAGGTTCCCATATAATCTCACTTCCTCACTCTCATAACATCTTGTACTTTAGTTTTGGGAGGTAAATCACACTAACTTGTCTTCCCCATAGACTGTAAATTCCATGTGGTGCAAGTATTGTGTCTATTCCATTCATTTCTGGATCCACAGCTCCTGGCCCATTACACGTATCTAATAAATGATAATGGAAAAATAAATATCTGGAGCTCTAATGAGGGACTGCATCTAGGAATTCATATGTGGAAATATCACAACTATAATAAGCAATATAATACCCCTTTGGATGGTTAACTAAAAAATCTGTTTTTTGTTTATTTTAGCTAGGGTATCATTTTTTATATTGAAATTTTTTTAAAAAAACTTATGGACATTGTGTTTTGGATCCAGTGGGGTGAGTAATGATGCTCAAAAGTAGGCATTCTTAAAAAAAAAAAAAGTAGGCATTCTTGATAATCTAATAAGAAGAGCTTGCAGCAGGTGGATTGGAGGTTGTACCTGCTGGTAATAATAAATCCAGGTTTGCACACATAGAAAATCTTTTCATATAAGAAGTACTTCAAAAAAGAAAAAGATTACAAATAAATCCAGCATGATTTTCCAAGTGTGAACCACTAAGCAAAAGAGTGTAAATATATCACCGAAGGTATAAAGAATAAATCTAGGAAAAAACAATATTAGAGCATTTCATAAGCACTGAAGGATTCGAATTTGCCACAAAACACTGTTAATATCATGAATATATATGACTGGCCATTTAGGTTTGGGTAAATCTAGTGAATTAGCATTCAAACCAATCCCATGATATATTCTCTAAAAATCATAATCTTAAAGTATAGGATCTTTTAAAAAAAACTCTCGGATAGATAAGAAAATGTAAGGGAAAGTTCTAATGAAATGTTGAGAATGACAAGAATAACTCAGTGGAAGTACTTAGGTTTGTTTAAATAGCGTCTTTGACAAAAGCAAGATTACTTGCAGAGTTTCAATTACCTATCCCAGCACAATAGCAAACAAGTCTATACCATTGGATCAAGATGCTATGTTAAGCTTGCCTCTTCAGGTTTTTTTCCTTTTTATTTCAGAGTTATTACAGGGGTACAAATGTTTTGGTTATATGAATTGCTTTGGTACCATTTGAGTCAAAGTTTTAAGTGTGCCCATCACCCAGATAGCGTGTATGGTACCCATTATATGTGAATTTACCTGTCCCCTCCTCCTCCTTCCCACCTGCTTGGTTTCCACTGAGTTTTACTACCATATGTGCACACGAGTGTTGATCAATCAGTTCCAGTCTAACAGTGAGTACATGTGATGTTCATTTTTCCATTCTTGCAATACTCTGCTTAGAAAAATGGTCTCCGGTTCCATACAGGTTGTTACAAAGAGTATTATAATAGTTCACATTTTTTTATGGCTGAATACTACTCCATAGTACACAGATACCACATTTTATGAATCCACTCATGTATTGATGGGCATTTGGGTTGTTTCCACATCTTTGCAATTGTGAACTGTGCTACCTCTTCAGTGTTATAAGAATCTGGTCCCCCATGTCCACTTCAGTCATGTCGATTCTCTGTATTCTGCTTGAGTTGTTGCCTTACTTAGAATAATATTAGAATCTGTCTCTAAAGAGAGGTGCATGCAAATACACCCTCATCTCACTAAAGCCCCAGAATTGAACTTTAAAAAATAGTTCCTACATAGGACAGTGGATCACGTTCACATTTATTTTGGCTATATTTTCTTTCATATTTGGATTTGGGATGGATAAGTAAAAACAGAGGCATCGACAATCAGCAACAGCCTTCTTGGCATGATTTACTTCTACAAGGAGGTAGAAAGGTAAACCAGATGACATTCCTAGGATTTTTCCAGATTTGTGCTATAACCATTAGGAGAATGGTTTATGATTGGAATTGGTGAGCTCCTTTCCTGGGATTTATCATAATGTATGAGCATAGGCTTCTAGGCTACACATCCCATACCGTGCCTAGGACACTCTAGGGCTAAAAAATGTTTATCATCCCCTGCCATTTAGCTTAGAGGGCTGGAGAACTGCTCTGGTGAAGCCAAGTCACAGGTCCTATCCCTATAGAAGCCAGTTAACGTCAAAGAAAATATCTGTTCTCTGGCTAAAGCTTGTACCTTTAGTCTCAGCCAGAGCTTGACTGCAGCAAAACGCTGTCAGTTCACCCCTGATCATAGGAGGAACTAGGAAAAAGAATATAGGTGGATCAATGTGAAACCATCACCACTCTTGAAAAGAAAATCTGAATAGTCATTTCCTACAGACAGTGTCAACAGCATCATCTTCCCAGTCAGAAGATATTATACATTCTACAGCTTCATGAAATTACTTTTTTGGTCTTCTTAAATCCCTTCCCACATGTTGATTATTCTTGAAATGTCCATGTTGACAAAAGTCTGGATCTGTATTATATATGGGCTATGGAATGGCATGAACTTCATAGAGAACATGTATTTCTTGGCTACAGTCACTGCAATATAATGGATTGTCTGACTCATACTTGAAATGAGTTGCAGCAGGCTATATATACCCCTCATCTCCTTTCACTCAGTCTGTTTCCAGTTCATGGCCACATATGTATGGCTGTTTGACTTTTAGTGAAAGACATCTACCAAGTTTTCCATTCTAATTTTAAACGAGAAAAACAGCAAAATAGCCAGTTTTATCCTTAATCCCAGAGAACAGGTAAGAAATCCTACTTTTGCTCATTAAGAAAAATATCCCTACACGTGGGATATGAATAAATTTAACCAAGATGGTAAAAAACTTGTACAATGAAAACTATAAACCATTGCTGAGAAATTAAAGAAGACCTAAATAAATAGAAGCATATCCTGTGTTCATGGATTAGAAAACATAATGTTCTCAGTAGTACCCAAAGAAGTCTACAGAATCAATGCAATCCCTTCCAAAATTCCAATGTCCTTTTTTAATAGAAAAGCCAATTATTCTCAAATTGATATGAAATTGTGAACATCTCCAAGTAGACAAAATAATACTTAAAAAGAAAATTGAATGACTCATATTTCCTGATTTTGAAACTTACTACTAGTCTATGGTAATCAAAATAGCATGATACTGGCATAAGAATAGACATATAGACCAATGGAATAGAATTGAGAGTCCAGAAACAAATCCATACATCTATGATCAATTCATATTCAACAAAAGTGCCAATATCATTCAATAGGAAAAGAACAATCTGTTTAACAAATTGTACTGGAACAACTGAATATTCACATGCATAAGAATGAAGTTGGATCCCTAACTGATATCATATACAAAAATTAACTCAAAATCAACTAATGATTTAAATATAAGAGCTAAAACTAAAAAACTCTTAGAAGAAAACATAGAGGTAAATCTTCATGACCTTGGATTGGGCAATGGATTCCTGGATATAAAATCAAAAGCACGATCAACAAGAAAAATAGATAAATTCGGCTTTGTAAAAACTTAAAACTTTTGGACATCAAAAGATATTAGCAAGAAATTAAAAAGATTACATACAGAATGGGTGGAAGTATTTGCAAATCATATGTCTGATAAGGATCTAGTACCCAGGGTATATAAAGAACACTTACAACCCAACAAAAAAGACAAATCAATTCAAAAATGAGCAAAGAAATTCAATAGATTATTCTTCAAAGAAATTATAGAAATGGTCGATAAGCACATGAAAATATACTAAACATCATTAATCATTAGGAAAATAAAAATGAAAACCACAATGAGCTACCACATCACACTCACTAGGATGACTATAATAAAAAAAATTTTTAAATTGAAAATAAGTGTAGATGAGGCTATAGGGGAATTGTAACCTTCACACATTGCTGGTGGGAAATGCAAAATGACATAGCCACTGCGGAAAACAGTTTGGTAGTTCTTCAAAACGTTAATTATAGATTGATAATATGATCCTGCAATTTCACTCCTATGTATATATCCAAAAAGTTGACAACCAGTACTCCAATAAGTATACACACATATTTATACCAGCACTATGCACAATAACCAAAAAATAGAAACAGCCCAAATGCCCATCACTGGATGAATGGATAAACAAATTGTAGTATATCCATACCATAGAATATTACTCAGCCATAAAAGAAATGAGGTACTATATCCCTGTACAACATGAATGAATCCTATGCTAAGAAGCCAGACACAAGAGGTCACATACTGTATAATTTCATTTATATACAATATCCAAAATAGGTAAATCCATAGAAACAGAAAGCTAAGTGATTGTCAAGGTCTTGGAGATGATCAGAATGGGAAGAAACTGCTTACTGGGTAAAAGAGGTTTTAGTTTGGAGTGATAGAAATGTTTTGAAACTAGATATACAGAGGTGGTGGTTGCCAACATTTGTGAATGTACTAAATGCCACTGAATTGTTCACTTTAAAACAGTTTGTTTTATTTTATGTGAATTTCACCTCATAAGTCATTTTTTAGAATGCATTAAGGCTATTAAAAAAAAGCCTACAATTCCATATAAACTTCTTTATAAACTCTGTAGGACAGACTAATGTGTAAATATACTCCTGTTGAGAGGAGAGGAGAAATGAGGAGATGCTAATCTAAAATAGTCACAATGGACAAAGAAAGGTCAGACTCCCTTTGTGGCTCATGGGCATTATGGTAATTATTTCATAAAATGAAAAGTTTCCATTTCCCCCCCACATATCAAATTCATTCTAACACATTTCCTCTGGCTTAGTGGCAACCAGTTTAAACATGTGTTTCTTGTATTTTACAGACATACTTGGCAAGTGCAAGACAAAATCGATGCAAACAATGTGGCTTACACAACTGGGAAGCTAAGTTTTCACACTGATTATCCAGCCCTCCATCACCCACCTGGGGTAAGGTGAACCTCACCATATTTTCCACAAGGCAGGCCAAGGACCAATACCCTTCTATATTTTGAGTCCAGAAGATCATATGTTTCAACAGCTAATTTGTCTTACATAAATCTGCTTTCTCCAAACACAGTCCAAGCTCGCAAAATCTCTATACCTAGATCCTGAATGTAACATTCCTAAAGGATAGGACATTTTCATGCATCCTTTTTAAAACGTTTCTTTGTTTTATTCTTTGTTTTAATGCGCATGGCCACTGGCAGAGTTTCCAGAGAGCTCCACAGCTTCTTGAGGCTGAGGCTAGTCACTCCTGCAATATGTCATTGGTCTAAGCAAGTCATAAATGTAACCCAGATTCAAGAGATAAGGAAGTAGACAAGGTATGACTAAAAGGAACAGAGTAACCACGGCTATTTTTGGAAACCATCCCACATCCCATCTGTCAAATCCCTTGTCAAGGTGTAGGATGCTCAGTGTGGAGCCACAAATCCCCAGGAGGATTTCTGGATGGACATTCTTCCTCTACATTTTTTACAAAATCATCAGTTTTCTAAACTAAAAAGCAAATGGTCAGAAAACTACCTTTTAAAAGACATGTTGGCCCTATTTTTAGAGCTCAGGTTGACTAAATGAAATAAACACACAGAAATCTGTATCTTCAAAGGTAAATGAAAATGTGGGCAATTTCAAGTTAATAAAGGAGAAATGGGCCAAAATCAAAATTAATCCTTTTTTTCCCATCTTCTTGACAGAACGTGTTTTCTCTGTGCCCTTGTTCTTACCCGTTGTGCTCACCAGTATTAGCTAAGCTCATCTAGTATTTGACTTCACATGTTTTACATTATTTCATTGATTATAAAATACCACAGTATTCCTTTGAACTAAATAATGAGAGTAAAACGACCCCTGTAGACAATTTTTTGGGGGAGGGTTGGGAGGGGAAGGAGACATACAATGTGATCTATTCTAAATGTGGCTCAGAGATTTTTCTGAAACCCTGGGGTTAAAAGCCAAACTAATCAGCTCAGCCCAGCTCATCTGCCAAAGAAAGGCTGAAGATGCTGGATGGAATAGAGCTGGAAGAATGAACTCAGAAAACCAAAAGTTCTGTTTGAATTTTTAAATTATCTTCTTTTATGGGTTTAAGTTTTGTTTCTGGGTTAAAATTGAAAGCCTAAGGAAAAGTGATTAAATGACGTCATAAATATTTCTGAAGTTTAATATAATGCCTGACATTTTCACAGCGTTTTATACTTTTTCAAAGCCTTTTTATTTGCATTACTTCATTTGATTCTTCTTAACGTTCCTTTAAGGTAGATAGGATTGATCGTGTCTTTTTATGTTAGATATGAAATGAAGTAGAAGGTTAAATACTTTTATAAGATGGTATCTCATTAATGGGGAACTTTGACTTGAACCCAGGCCTTCACTAGTTTTTCACCACACCATACTAATCCTGAGTTTGAATTTCTAAATACTACAATTTATATAATGAAATAGAATATTTGTAGACATTGTCATACTTTACAAACTCGTTAAAGACAGGAACTGAACCTTGTACTCCTCTGTGTCTCAAGACTTAATACAGCACCTTGGGCATCATGGAGACATAACAGATATACTATAAGAGGCAAAGAAATGCAACAAAGTTGCACCTGACTCCATCAGCAAATGAAACATTCAAAGCTGAATGACTTAATAGGAGATTTTTAAATAACAGATGGTTTCAAAAATGTCTAGGTTCTAGTAGAAGAATAAAATGTAGGCACCTGTTTGTACCATTGTTCAAGTTTCCATTTTTCATTATTAAGGGATTTTTGCACCAAAGTTTGAGATTTCTATAGCAAACAGATGGTGCCAATGTTTTTTCAGTACAGATGAAGTGATCTGGGTAATGAGTTACCTGATGAGAGTTCGGTTTGATCAATTTGGATCATATGAGGCAGGGATAAGGGGACACATATTTAATGAAACACAGATGTTACTTTGTTCACTGTCTTCCTCTGGACCAAAAGTCAGATGCTTGCCATAAAGTAACATTTAGAAAGAAAATATTTTTTGCTCTGAATGATTCACATGAAATAAAATTGGGTTTTATAGATGGCAGGCATATATTTACCTTTTGAATTAGCAATGAAAGTGTTGTCAAGCTCCATCATCTTTCTTCCTTCAAAAAAATGGTATTAAAAGTGTAACTACAAAAGTTACACTTTTGTACAACATACTACTGGGCCTTGCCATATGTAAATAACATCATATGACCTTTTTAAAGATTAACATTTGAAATATTCTGTAAATTCATTATTGGAAATCTAAAAGGAATTAAGGAACTGTGATTCTCCCAAAGACAAAGTTATGCTATTATTGTTTTGCTTTCTTGGAGTTTGGTAGACTTGACGTCAGCTTTTCCGTCTCCTCTGCTTTTTCATCATGCAATCCCTCATTGTCCTGGTGAAATGATTTTCTATAATGACTGATCATTTTATGCACAAATTTTTTTCAAGCTCAACAAAATAGCATTAATGTAAGGATTGAACCATTATTAATTTAGACCAGTTCTCTCCCAACATCAGAAAATAGAAATATTTCCTCTAAATGTATAAAGCACATACATACATACCACACAATACTGGATTATTAAGAGGACTGTAAAGAGATTTCTCCCTTTGTAGGAAACACATTTGCTATATGTGAATTTTGAGGCAAATGGGCCAAGGTTTGAATACCAGCTTTATCACGTTTTAGCCAAATTCCTATTAGCTGGCCAGTCTTGACACCTCTGTGTTTCAGGCTTTTCATCTGTGAAATGGAGATAAAAGTATCAAATTTTAAGGACTATTGTGAGAAGTAATTAATACCTAAGAACAAGTATATACAAAATTATAAAAATTGAGGAAACTCATGTGGTTTTGAAGAAGAGGCAGGATTTATGTTCTAGACCAGCACTGTCTAATATGGTGGTCACCATCCACAAATGGTTATTTAAATTCTAATTTAAATTAAAATCAAACAAAGTGTAAAATTTAGTTCCTCAGTCACACTAGCTACATTTCAAGGGCTCAGTAGCCATGTGGAGTTAGGGACTACTGTATTGGGAAGCACGGAAGGATATTTCCATCATCCCAGCAAGTTCTGATGGACAGCACTGTTCTAGACCATCTGTGGAAAAAGCCAAGCCAAATGGATATTTTTTCTGCTAAGATTGATAGCCCCCCGTAGTCTGGGTATTTGATCATATTTGCCTATTCCGTTCTATAAGAACTTAGACAATGGTTTTTATTTTATTTCAGTAAAAATGAAGTTTTCACAGCTAAATAGAATTAGCATCTTCGAGCAGAAAACTAGGGGCTAAATTTAGGTATTCAAAATCGCCTACCCATGCTGACTTAACCAAAAGGAGTCACAAAACCAAGGAAAACCTCCACTGAATATTTTTTAAATTTTACTATGTTTTGCTTTTCAAAATGAAATAATATTAAACATTTTCCCCAAAATCTTAGTAAAAATAATATTTACTATCGTTTTGGTTTATCCATCCTCACAGTCCTACCCTACCTCATTTCCTTTCTTACCCATATACCTGAGATTCATATTAGACTTTTAAGATTCTTTGACCAGGTCCACCCTCAAAAAAGAAGAGAAAGAAAAAAGTATCCTATGTAACACCACTGGACTCATATTCTGCAGCTCAGTTCTGACTGCATACTTTCATATTCAAAAGCCTTCAATGACTTCATTCTTTGCACAAGTTCAAAAATCCTTCATTGGATATTTAAGACTGTCCATGATGAGTCCTCAAATTACTCTTCCAACCTGATCCATTCTTCCCATTTATATCCCCGCTGCAGCCAAATGTTTCGTTACCCAGTGAACTGTGCATTTTTGCACATCATTATCACTGTCACCTCTCATTTCATTCTACGTTTCCCAAATCTCACTCATCTTCCTTTTCCCAGCTTAAACCTCACCTCCTCTGTAAATCCTTCCCTGTCTACTCCAGCTGGAATGCTCACTCTCTGAAGCTCTTATGAGCTGTGCCTTTTGTTTACTAATGAACATTATTATGCCTATGTCTTCAACTGTATCATGTTTGAACTACACAGCATTGATTATGAGCAATTTTTCCTCCCCAACTCTTTTCTGACACAAGAGAGACAAAAAAGATTCGTTGACTTTGGTTCATTCATAGCTTTTTAAATCTTTCTTTAACAGAATATTTTAAAAAGCAACATGCATACTATTTGTTTTATTTGATATTATTTAGTTTTAATATTTATTTTAAAATTAAATTAAATATTTATTTAATAATGCTTATGATCTTCTTTTAATAGGTTCAGTTTCTGCATTGCATAAAACAAACAGTCACAGGAGGTGATTCAGAAATTGTAGATGGGTTTAATGTATGCCAAAAGCTCAAGGAAAGAAATCCTTGGGCATTCCAGATTTTGTCCTCCACTTTTGTGGATTTTACAGACATAGGAGTGGACTACTGTGATTTCTCCGTACAATCAAAACACAAAATTATAGAGTAAGTACTATTTCTAAATATTCCATAGCAATAAAACAATTGATGGCAAAAACTCTATTAACCTAAAATTTAAACAGCACAAAGCTTCAATGAACTCTAGAGATTTATTTTTTTTAACTATTTAATCTAAATTTAGAGTAAAAGGGAAAAAAAGTCTTTTTGCCATAAAAACTTTTATTATATTACATGAAATCTGTTCTTAATATTAGAGGAAAAGTAACTAAGACTTCATGTACGCTTCATTTTTAAAATATAAGTTGTACATAGTTGTAATCGATGTGATTATACTAATCAGAACCCATTCAGCCAGAAGTGAGAAAATATAACTCAAAATAGGTAGATCCAGGAGTTAAACAATATCATCTAAAATTGGTCTCTTGTTTCTACTTAGCTTTGTCATCTTCTGTTGGTTTCATTTCAAAGATGATCAGCAGAAGCTCCAAGTTTTTATTGTCCTTGGAACTAGTAATCATAGCACAAAGAATGCCTTTATTTCCCAATAGCTACAACACAGCTAGATGAGTCACTGTCCAATTTCTGTCAAAGTCTGTCCTTGAAGCAATCACCATGGCCAGGGGGTTGAAGAATTCTGATTGGTCATTTCTGGGTCACATGTTCCACTCTGGAGCATGGCCAGCCTCTTCTGAACCACATGGACTGAGAATGAAACAGGGAGTCTTCCCAAACAGATGCTAAGCCAAGAAAAACCGTATATTCCCTACATAGAACATTTTGTTTTTTTTTTCATTTAATATGGTTTTATCATGATTTTTCTAAGTGCCTACAGAGGCCACAGATTCATCCTTTTACTTGAGAAATATCTTCCATTTTGTTTCTAGGACATAGTTTAATTAGAACCCAGTTAATGAGAAGGGGATAGTGTTTCCAATTTTAAAAATTGAGTTTATATTCTTCTTTTAAGAGAAATAGCCAAATAGTATGAAAATAAACTCATTTAATAAATAATCAAATCCCCAGTACACTAACCCAGCCCTCTGATAGACACATGTAGCTTTCATTTATTCATTCAACAAATATTTTTTGAGGCCAGCCACTCATCTTGGTACTTGGAATACATAATTGGACAAAACAAAGATCTCTTCCTTCTTATAGCTTACATTCTAATGGGGGAGGAGAGAATTAAAAATTTTTAAACCAACAGGCAGATTATAATGAATGTTAAAAAATGTCAAGTACTTAAGAAAAAAAGGAAATGTAGGGCAGGATAATCAGAATCTGTAGGGCCAAAGACTCAGCAAGGACGGGAACTTGTGTTATTTAATAGTATGGTGAGGGAAAGCTTTAATGAATGAGATTTGAGCAAAAGTTTAAAGGTGTGAGTTTACCCAGAAGATAAGTGTAGAGAAGTGTTTTCTAGAAGCTTCTAGAGCAAAGGTTCTTAGAAGGTCCCAAGAACTTGTCTGGGATGTTCAAGGAACAGCAAGGAGGCCAGTGGGACTGGAGCAGAGTGAGGGGGAAGAGTATTGGGGGAGGGCAGAGAGGGACCAGTTTATTTAGAGTCTTGTTAGCAATCATAAGAACTGAGTGAAATAGGGAGCTGTTGCAAGATTTTGATCAAAGGAAAGACATTTATATTTATATAAATTTAATTATATTTTAAGCAAATCACCCTGACTGCTGTGTTGAATATAGCATAAAAGAGCAAAAACAGTGGCAGGAAGACCAGTTAGGAAGCTACTGTTGGACTCTAGGCTGGCAATCATGGTGCCTTGAACATGAGTGGTCCAAGTGATAGTAGTGGCAACGTGGAAAAGGGGCAGTTTTGGGTTGTATTTTGTAGGTAGACAGAGATTATTTTCCTGACAGATTGGACGAGGGGTCTGAGAGACAGACAGACATCAAGAATAAATTCTAGTTCAGGAAAACCTGAGGCATTTCCTAAGCTCTCAGTCACTGAGATAGAGAATAAACTCAAGATTCTCAGTTATGTAATGACATCATAGTCTTAACTAGTCAAACATTACCTTAAAAATCCATGACAAATAAAAATTTTGTTGATATACAACAGGATTATAAATTCTGCAAGACTAGAGAACAGAGGCAAAAATTTAACTATCGATTGAGATTAATTGAGTATCTACCATCTGAATCATGACTTGGCTTTGAAAATTTTGTACTAAAATTCTGGAATTTGGCCATTTGCAAAGTCTCTGGAATATCCCTAGAGAATATGAAGTGGCTAACACTAATCCATGTAGAAATATATTTCTAACAACAGAAGATGAAATAAAGAGAGTTTTTGGTTAATGTAGGGCCTCCCTCTCCTGAGTGTTTGGGTTAATTTAATTTTCCTTGTGGTTAAATTTTTATGTCCTGTCTAGTACAAAAACATATTTTAGGCTGCTGACTGAATTCATTATAATTCAGTACAATAAAAAAAATAGGCCAATAAAGTAACTGGAACAAAAATAATGATGGTGGGATTATGCAATCCTATTTACTACAAATTCAATCATGTGAATCCAAGTCTTTTACTTGCCAGCTGATAATCTCTCATTTGATAATTTACTCTTGCTTAATCCAAAGTATCTTTTTCAGTTAAAAAACAAAAACAAAAAAATGAATATCTACCACATTGAAGTAGTAATTATGGAGTTAATACGGAAGCTCCTACTATAGTGCCTAGCTTAGAAAATGCAAAATAAATTTTAGCTAGCCATAATTTGCATAAAGTCCAACATGTTTACTAGTGATAGATTTCTATTTCAGCTCTGCGTTTCTAGAAACCGAAGCAAAGAGAAAACATAATTAGTTGTAAGATTCAAGATGCTTCATATGTCTGAAATAGACTTTTCCTGCAGATTCTCATAAAATATGACATGGTAGACAACACTGTTAGTTTACATTCCCATAACAAATGCAAGAAGTTGCATAAAGCGTTGCATCTATCAATGAGCTGTAATATTGTAATGAGAATTTACAGCACTAACTGATTGTAGGAGAAGACTCTATAATCTTTTCATTGGGTTCTTTTGTCAGCAGTCACTGATAACACTTTGCTTTTGCTGCTTCACAGTCACCATATTGTTGGTTTACATTTAAATATCTGTCCTTTATGTATAGCTAAAGGATATATAGCCAGTTACTCTCATATTTTGTGGCTTTTTACAACTTCCTTGGCATGCAACCTTACATTTAGACCCTTCCTTTCATTCTGTTAGGCATAGAATTTCCAGCTTACTACTACTTAATTTTACATTTTAGGTTGATCTTCACAGTACCAGCCACCCACCTCCTCTAATGTTCTTCAATTTTAAGAATAACGTCCCCTCTGGACTTTTAAACCAAATTTTCTATTTTCCCTCGTTTCTTTGCTGAGAATGCTAAATGACGAATTTTTGTCTCGTCTTCTCAGATAGAGAGTAAACACCAGGTAAAAAGAAGCAGGGACTAAGTTACACACAAAAAAGTTGATTATTTTTCTATATATGTGAACTCATAAAAATGAAATCAGTTCCTTCCATTGATCTATGAGGATATACACATTGACTCTAGAATGGTCAGCTCATAACTAGCATAACCACTCAAATAAAGCAACTATGGGATTGTGTGGGGGGAACAGATCATGAGGGCAGGTGGAATGGGGGACACCCCAGAAGTTCGAAAGTCATGAAATCCTTTCAATAACATGGCAGATGACACAGAGGGTAACATTACTTTTACAGAATATGTAACAAGGAGAAAAGAGGGAAAGTGGGTCAGGAGAAGTAGGACTAGAATCTTAAAGATAAGATTAAAAGGCAAAAGGCCTCAGATGCTGTGAAGGAGGTCTGAAACCAGCAGCATGAACTCTAAAGGGGCAGCTGAAAGGTTATATACTCTCCTTGATGCCCCTACATTCTGGAGGTTCATAGTCTTTTCTACTGACTTACCCTTTTCTTGATTCTTTGTTCATAAAGCCACATCCTGCAGGCCCAGAGGAGTCTTTACTTATGTGGAAGTGTGTATGTGGGGGGAGGGGGTGCTTCATTATCCATTGAGTCATATTTGTATTGTTATCAATATATGTAAATTCATGTTTCAAAACTCTAAGAGTCTTTTTGAAAATCTGTTCCTTCCTTTTACTTTCTTTCCCAGTGTGGGTTCAATAGGTAGTTGGAAACCACCAGTAAGCAAAGGATTGGTGCTAATCTCTACCTTCGGAGTTTACCATTACAGTTGCCTATAATGAAGCTAACACTCAGAGAAGCTAACACTCATCTGAGGCACGATGCACAGGGGCCCTGATAGTCACAATTTGTATACTACAGTCAATTGCATCCCTCCTCCTGTACCCCCATTTGTTGACAGTGTTCACTCTGTGTGGCTGGTCAGCTAAGTGTGACCCAGACCCCAAACCAGAATCACCAAGCCCCAGCACATGTGACAATGAGGTTGGTCTGACCCACCAGGCCTGGGCCCCAGTCAGTTGCTGGCTCTCATAACCACCTCCTGGGCTCACCCTCCAGGGTTACTGCTCCTGGGAGTAATCCTAGGCACACTGCCGCCATCCTTGAACATTTTCAATTTACATCTATCCCTCCTGTTTCTACCTATAGAAAAGATAAAGCTGGTTGACACTTTAGGACTGGCTAAAAGTCCACCTTCCCAGCAAGCTAAAAAAAATTTCTCTCCTTTTGCCTCTATATCTGGGTGATATCTATGTCTCACTAATTATAACCAGCATAGCTCAAATCCAAGAAATGATGCTATCTTTTCTTGCATTAAAAGCTGTATTACTTTACATTGTCATGATCGTAATCCATATTCTAAATAAAGGTAAAGAGAATATAACATTAAGATCTCCCATGATACTAAAAAGACCTTGGTATTCTCCCAAGGTACTGAAAAATGCATAGAGCTGCTTATACAATGAATATTTATTAACTTCCTGTTATGCCCAGGCTTTATGTTGAATGCTGGGAATACAACATTGAATGAGACACAGTACCAGTCTTCTAGAAGCCTGCATACTAAGACAGGTAGTATAGGTAGATAGGCAGAAAGAATGTACCTAAAGGATAGTCTCTTATTTCCTCTGTGCTTCAGTTTCCCCATCTATAAATAAAAATTGAATCAGAGCCATGTATTTCAAACTTTTAAAAAATAAAACTTTCTTCCCATCACACACTTCAAATAAAACCATACTTAGAACCCCAATAGATGAAACACATAAAGCAATTGACCTATAAACTTATAACATAAAAGTATTTTAATATATAAACCCTGTTTTAAAGAACAAATAAATTTCACTAAGCATAACAAAAATTTTAACTTGAATCTCTCAGTAACATTTATTTTAAGTTGAATCCTCCTGAAACTTAGGTAGTAAGATTTCAAAAAACATTTGCTAAATGAATAAATGGAAAAACAAAGGAATACATTGTACCACAGATAACCTTAAGATCTTCTGTACACATGTTTGGATTCTTTAATACAGTGTTTCAGAAATATCTTCCAAGAGGAATTGACCCTTACAAATGTAAACAGATGCTTTGGGAATTATACATTAACTGTTTCTCTTAAAAAACACAGGTTGGATGATAAAAGCCAAGTGGTTCGCATCAACTTCAATAATGCAACTAGGGACACGATATTTGATGTACCTGTTGAAAGAGTTCAGCCTTTTTATGCTGCTCTGAAGGAGTTTGTTGGCCTCATGAATAGCAAAGAATTCAAGTTTACCTTCAAGATGAATCCAGGTCAGTGAATATGTTTTCTAAAACAACTGAAAGCATGGATTTTCTTCAACCTTAACTATCTAGAATCCAGTGCAGCTTTTCTCAAGTATGGCACATGGGACACTTACAACAGGATCTTGGTGAGCCACAGACTTACTTAAATAGCAGACTCCTGGGCCTCACCTATGTTATGTTGATCTTACAAGCTACTGGATAATCGTAAGCACTCCAAAATTTAGGGCCTCCAACCTAAAGAACAAATACTTGAAAGACAATCCATTGGCCAAATGAAATCTCATGTGTGATATTAAGACTGATGTTTTATGTTTCTATCCCAATAGCCTATCAATACAAATTGAGGTTTGTATTTAATTCTATCCTGGTAGAGAAATAAAATTATCCTCATGATTCTCACTCAAAAGTACATGAGTAATGTTTATGCATTAGGCTTACTAGCAAAGACAGTACTACCAGAAATAAAGTAATTCTTGAAGTATTCCAGTTACTTGAAACACAGGAGCAAAAAGCATTACTATTTTTTCTGGACCATCTCGACTCAGCAAAGTGCCATTAAACTTGAGGTTTTTGGTATCTATAGGAAAAAGCATAATTTCTCTCTGCTGTTGATTTGGCCAAATGGAACATCCTTGTCACTTGTAATCATTTTTTGATTGAGCTTTGGAATAATAAGGTAAAATGGGAATCTCCATGAATCCACTGCCATGCAGCCACAGCAGGTTGCTTTTAAGAGTGGCAACGTGTAAAATAAAAATATTAAAAAGCAGCAGTTGAAATCCAAGCTCAAACCATTTAATGGCAGTGTAGCTTTGAGCAAATCACTCAACTTCTTGAATTCTTGGTTTTTTCATGTACGAAAAGATGAGATAATACATTCTCTTCAGGATTCTTATGACGCTTAGAAATAATATACATAAAATACCAGGAACATAGAAGACAAACCAAGAATGCCACTGTCCTTTCTATTATTTGAAGCTTTTAAACTGGGAAGAAACATTTCTAATTAAAAAATAAATGTCAATCAGTAAAAATAATTCAAGTTTTACACATAGATAATATTTTCAATAAGATTGATTTTTTTGAAAGGGGGGGCATCACTATAAATCTTTATTTACTTATTTATTTATTATTTCAGAATATTACAGGGGTACAAATGTTTAAATTGTCTACAGGAGCCTATCGGGTAATGCAGTTTACAGCCTAAAGCGGTTTGCATCCAGTGGCCTGATTTGTGTAGAAAAGTGAATATGCAGTTTTATGTAAAGAAATAAGCAATTCTTAATGTGAACCAAGTAGCAGTCATATTTTGCTTGTTAAATTTTCTAGCTCTTCAAGTCATTTAAACACATGATTATTCATACTGAAAAAACCCTTTTATTTAGGGGATGTGATTACTTTTGATAACTGGCGCTTACTTCACGGCCGACGTAGCTATGAAGCAGGAACTGAGATATCCCGCCATCTAGAAGGAGCTTATGCTGACTGGGATGTGGTAATGTCGAGGCTTCGTATCTTAAGGCAGAGTGTTGAGAATGGAAACTGAAAATCCCGTCTATCATTTTAGTAAGATTCCAATGAGTGTATTTTGTAAGATGCGGCAGTTATTCACGGACCATGATCTGTGTCCTTTACATATAATTTCCTTAACATCGAACACGTAACCTCTCTTAGAAAAGTATTCTTTTCTTTGTAATCACATACAATGTCAACTTTTTAGATGTTTTAGCAGTGCGCACTCTGTTCCAAATAAAGCATTCCTTCTGTTCTGTTGCATGCATGCTCTAATTTCTTTTGCCCATATATGAGTGTCTCCAGAATGCCTACAAATTTTTTGTATCAAATAAAACCTTTCTTTACATAAAGCTTTTGTTTCAAATAAAATTTATGTTTCAAATAAAACATGCTTCTGCTCTGTTGCCTATAGAGTCTCATTTTTCATGATTTCATATGACCATCTTTTAGCCTGTTTGGGAAAAGCTTCAGATTTTCAAAGATCTGTTTTATTCACTTTTATTATAAAATTCGATTATTCAAGTTTCCAGACCTCACCAACTTGGTGATTTCAACATTTCCTTTTAATACCTACATTATGACAACAAAACCAAAGCATGACAAATTATGAGAAAATCTAGTTTCAATAATTTTCTCTTCCCCCAAATAAACAGTCTCAAGGACTGCCAGAATTGCTTACACCTGTCTATGAATCTGTTCTCCTCATTCCTTGCCTCCAACTAACAATTGGGAAAGGAAAAACCAAGATGCATACACCACTCTTGAATGAACAGGATGTCTGCTAATCTCTGGACGGCCTCACCAGTTGGTTTTGGCTTCCTTCATAGCCACTGCCTTGCTCCAGCAGTGAAGTGCAAGTGTCACTACCAGCTGTGGAAGTCTCACTCCTATTGAGTCCAGCAGGGTGGGAACCTGCAGCTTAGGGCCACATGTGGCCTTCTGGATCCTTGAGTGTGGCCTTTTGACTGAATCCAAATTTTACAGAACAAATCCTTTTATTAAAAGGGGTGCAGCAGAGAAAGATGAAGCTTTTCTTGCTTCCTTTGGTGCTTAAAAAAAAAACAATCTTGAAATCAGAAGGCTGCAGGTTACCTACCCCTCAAAAGATTTTTGGACCTAACCAAACATCCTGTTCTAAAAGTCTTAATCACTGCTACCACTGCAGAGCTCCACCTGTTGCCTCAAGACCAAGTGAAAACACTATTTCCACCCATGTTTTAACTTCTGCTCCATACCCACTGCAGTTTCCACAAAGTGTGCCCGTGGCACTGGGAGTGGGGATCAAGAACACTTTTACCCAACGTGGGCATAACCCTCAACACTCTGAACTTCAGTATTAAGTCCACATCACCAGCCCAGATGCCCCTTCCCTTATAACAGTCCCTTTCTGGGGCCTTTCTGGGGGCATCGTCCTTCCCTATCAGCTGGCTTTGATTTGGGCTACTGTAGCATATCACACGTTTGACTCCTTTGAACTGCGAAGGGAGTGGCTTGAGTTCTCAATCCCAGCTCTCCTAAAATGCTCCTAGAATAAAAACAGGTGATTTCAATAGCCTGGTTCTAAGGGGTAACATTCAACACTTAAAAACGAATAATTTTCTGGAGTGACCCTTGATCCATCCATTCACGGCATCTACACCCATGCCACTTACCCAGCTAAAGTGACTTCTTATGCTTTTGTTCATTTGGCAGATATTTATCACATATCTGGTATATGTCAGGCATTCTGCTAGACTAAGGATACAGAAGGACTTGAAGTGTGCCTTCTTACAGTCTGGTAGGGAAGCAAATAAAGATAAAGATAATGATGTGCCATGTTAACACAATGGTTCCCAGGAAGGCAACAAAGCCAAACCAGGGAAGCTAAGGAAAGTTTCAGTCTGGGTTGAATTATGAGAGTTAATAGTAGTTTCCCAGGCAAAGATGGGGAAATGACTCCAAGTTAAAGGCAGAAGGACAGAGAATTGAGAGTGAAAACAGGGCATGTGTTGACTTTCGAGCGGCAGTAGAAGATCAAGATCACGGCGGTGGTGTAAATTCTGGAGTTGGAGGCCTACGTTCAAACCAAAATAATAAAAATCAGTTAACCATGTGTCTTTGGACAAATAACTTTTCTTCTTAAGCCTCCTTTTTTTTATATATAAATAAGACTAATAACAGTTCTTCTCCCATTAAATTTTTATGAGGATTAAATGAAAGTTCATGTGAAACAGTGTTTTCCCAAATTTCTCAATGTCACACCCGTGGTGCCTTTAAAAAAAAAAAAAAAAAAATACAGCTTCCCAGACCATTCCCTGAAGATTATGATTCAACAGATCTGGGATGAGGACCAGGAATTATATTTTTAGCAAGGATCCCAGGTGATATATATCATCAGTGAAGTTTGGAAAATATTGATACAAAACATTTAGCGTAGCTCCAGGATCAGGGTAAGCACTCAATATACATTAACTATTATTAGTTATAATAACAAAGGTTGTAGAGGGAAAGGGTGGTTAGGGTGAAAATAGATATGTGAGGCTGGAAACAGAGACAGGGGCCAAGTCATGAAATGTCTAAATGCATGTTTCATAAAAGAGTTAGTATTTTATCTTGCAAGCAATGTGGAGCCTTTTAAAGGTTTTAAAGCATTAAAGTGCCTTGATTAGACATTCATTTTTAAAGATCCATCTGGCTTCACTGTGGAGGGAATTGTAAATGGGCAAGACTAAAGGCCATAAATCTAGTTATGAGGTTACTATAGGAAGCCAGATGAAGAATTAAGAAGGATTAAATAAGAACACTGGGAAAGGGAATGAAGAGAGAAGGCTAAATCTAGAGGACTTGACCCATTGCATATAAAGAATGAGAAAAATGTCTAGGTTGTCTCATGAGTTTCTAGTTGAGAAAAAATGGGTTATGTACAGGAAAGGAAGCCACAGTAGCAGAATCAAGCTTGTTCAGCAAGAAAATGAATTCAATTTTGAATAATCTGAGCTTGAGCTGCCCCTGAGTTGATACATTTGGCAGTTGGATATATATACACATAGACCACAGGACAGAGATCTGGATTAGAGATCTACTTTTGGAAATATATAGATGGTAGTTAAAATCACTTATCTTCCTGGAGACGTTAATGATGTTACCAAAGTCACAACTCTAAGAGTTTGATGATAAGCAAATGATATTGGCTTAGCTTATGGAATCAGTTACACTCAGAACTTAGAAAATCAGTAGGGGCTTATATTCAAAATCAGATAAACCTCTTACATGCCATATTTTGTCTCTAGAATACAGCATTCCAAGCCACCACCCTATGGCCTGGCTATTTCTTCTCTGTTGCAAATATTATTTCTGCCCTGGAAAGGAGAGACAGAAGGATTGGATGCAGTTGCAACAATTTCTGAAGTGTTATATAGAACATGACATATTATGGGCTACAGCAGCCAGTGGTGACCGAAGATGATTAGGTTTCCTGGATATAACCATCTGAAGATTTGACTTCACCCCAAACTCATAATAGACCTGATGTAACTTGGATTAGAATTTACCCCTATTTGGCAGTATGGATTCTTACTCTCTGCTAGATTTCTCTGAATTGACTTGGAGAATGTTAGCTGCTTGGATAGTTAATCAAAATAACTCCACAGGTCACCAGAATGATATCTCACAAAGTATCTTCATTGGTTTCTACCTCTCCCCCTACCTAACCATTAAAAGGTGAGCACATGAAGATTTTTAGAGAGAATTTAAGCAAAATAAGGAATTCTATAGAAAATCTGAGTGATGCTGAGGGTAATTTCTCTTCAGGAATTTAAACTATGAGGTAAGAGATATTTTATAAACAAAACTATTCTTTTATGTTAAATATCATCTTGGGGATACATTTGAGCCAAAATTTTTTTGCAATAAAAATATAATTTGGTTGGACTTTATGGCTTGGAGCAAACCTCTGGGTCTCTGCACATTTTTTTCCAGCTATCTGGAATACCCCTCTCTACTACCTTTATGCCTGGAAAACTTCTCTCCCTCCTTCAAAGTTCAGCTCAAGATTGGTAAGCAAGATAATAGAATAGGAGGTACCCCACTCCTATCCCCCCACAGAAACAATAATGTGGCAACTATTCACGGACAAGAATGTCTTTGCAGGAGCTTTGGGAACCAGAGAAGAAGCTAGAAAACCCCAGCTGAGCCCAAGACCAAGAAGGGCTATTTTGAGAAGGCAGGTCTATATCCAGGTGTCAGTCTCATTGACTATGATCCCAGCTACAGACCCAGACACAGCCCCATATTCCTGTGGACACAGATACAGACATGTTTGGCCTTGGTCCTATAATCAGCACCATCTCCCTCACATCATGCCTTAGGAAACAGGCCTGCTGACTCCAGTACCAACTGAGGACTCTGAAGCAGCCATGACCCATCTCTAGCCCCTCCCAGGCATGGTGTTGAAACAGTCCTGCCTATACAGTGGTCCATCAGGAGACATGCCTGTCCATGCCCCTGGAGGCAGAATTGTCCACCTCAGTCCCACAGCTGATTCTAAAACAGCCTGCAGGGTGGCTCCAGCCATCTCTCAGCTGCATATCAGGAGTGCTCCTGCCCACCCAGGGACAAGACAAGAGACATACCTATCCATGTCCCAAGGAGCAGGCCTGCCAACCTCAGTCAAACTGCAGATACTGAAACAGCCCTAGAAAATGGTTCCCAGAAATCCAGCAGTTGGTACACATATCTATGCACCTGAGATATATCTGCAGACCCCAGTCTCAGCTATAGATTCTGAAGCAACCCTATGACTTAGTTCCAGTCCTACCTGCCTGGGAACCAACCCAGAAATTCACCCAGTAACCTGGCAAGAGCCCTATTAGGAACCTGGTGGGAGCCATAGCTGTTTGTGAACCTGGTAGTAGGTCTGCTTTCTATGGACCTAATGGCTGAAGATCCTAAAATGGACCCTGTTCCAGTTTCAACCTTATCGTCCCAGGTCCTAGAAGCAGTCCAGTCTTCCCAGGGACCAGGGACCAGACAAGGTCCACATCTACCCAACCTCTAGTAATGGCCCACCAATCACAGAACACATTGCAAACTCATCGGCAGCCACATAACCTGGCCCAACACCTCTCAATTGTGATCCTGGAGATAATCTCATTATGGTAAGGACCCAAAAGGTGAAAGTCTTTAACTGCCAAATCTGGTCTATAAAAACTGGAAGAGGGGCCAGGCATGGTGGCTCACGCCTATAATCCTAGCACTCTGGGAGGCCGAGGCAGGAGGATTGCTTAAGGTCAGGAGTCCAAGACCAGTCTGAGCAAGAGTGAGACCCCATCTCTACTAAAAATAGAAAGAAATTAGCTGGACAACCAAAAATATATTGAAAAAATTAGCCGGGCATGGTGGCACATGCCTGTAGTCC